AACAGTGAGACACGTTTTTCAAAGTGTCTAGGAGACAGTAACTAGGTTAAAATTGAACTTCACAGAAGAATGCATGGAATGTAAATAAGTTATCGATTTATTCGTTTTAAATACTGATAATGGATTTAGACGGTGAAAACGCACCGTGTAAAATAAGTTAGCAGAGTCATTTAATTTACACCGATTCTGCGATAACGCAAGAGGGATGGAAGTCTTCAGGTCGGGTTGACCGCAACGCATCGCCCCTTTGCTTCGAGTTACCAAGGCAGATCATTTACCCAAGCTACGACCCCATGGCATTTAAGGGTTTGAAGTGCACAGAACGCAAGATCGCGTCACTAAGTTGGGCTGAACAAGGGTACGTTTGAGCACCAAGAAAAGCTGCAACTATCCATAGATGAACACACAGAAACAGATATCACCCCGATGCTCTGGGTAGCTATCACAAATGATAATTTTCAAATCCTGTGGGTACCATTTAAATACATGGTGCGTTTCTCCGTATAAATTCGGTATCAGTGTTTCAACTACAGTATCTACCAGCCGGACTGGAAATTGCACTTTGCGATAGCTAGCCCAGAATATCGGGGTTACATCTATTTCTATTCTCTGCTTATCATTTAAACAGTTTAGCAAAAATTCTGTGAATGTGCGACCACTATTGAATGTGAAGCAAGACCTGTCATATTCTCCTAACTCAACGGTAAACTGCTCTTAGGATCAGTACGAGATAGGATATATCAATAACGCTGCCTACCCAGTTTGGATAAGCCTCTATCGGTACCGGAATCGTACAGGTTTAGCGGGCATACGATATTCCAACTTCACTAGCTAGGTACAGAATACCTTACAATTGAGCTTGTCAGGGGTTGCTTAACAAATAATCGCGGACAGAATTCATCAGCGGATGTCAGATCGAGCTAATCGCAAGGGTATTTTACTGTTTATGCCCTGTGGTGACCAAGCGATCAGATCCTCCGGAAACGTCCTATTCAAAGTTCGCCTTGTTACAGTCCATGGTACTACGAGCAACACTCACAAGAAGTCCAACTCGCAATCCAACTGATCGTTCCTTATCCTAGGGCTTCAATCAATCCTTTCAACCAGTAAAAGATATCTGCCGAAATCTTTTCTAAACTTCGATTAGGAGCAGCAGGGAATGGATATTAATATCTCTGTAAATGAAATTACACAAGCTGTTAAAAGCTTGAAAAATGGAAAGGCTGCCGGAATTGATGAAATCCGCCCTGAAATGCTCAAGGCATTAGG